TCCCCACCAGCCCCGCCCGCCCTGACCTCGATCTCCGTCAGAAAGTGGATGGCCTCTGGGAGGGTCACCAGGCGGTTTTTGTTCAGGACGAGTCTCCTCAGCTTTGGGCATCTGTGAGGACAGGGCCAGCCGGAGTCTCAGGGAGGTGACAGACCAGTGGGGAGGTCAGGGGAAACTTCCAGTCCTGGGGCAGGGGAGGCAGGTTGGGCCCGAGGAAGTGTGCGTGTGGGTCCTCTGCTCTCTGCCTGAAGGACTTCTCAGAGCCAGGAGACCACACTAGTGGGCACTGTGACCTTCAGAAGGGGTGCGCTCCAAACTCACATGGCACTGGAACCCTTCTGGCCTCATCCCTAGTAACGCCTTTCCAAAGGGTACTCTGGGGAACCTGAGTTGGGAATGGCTGGCACGGCACTGTGGTCTTCACACACAAAGGCAAATTAACCCATCTCCACTTCACACGGGCATGAAGACCACAGGGTGGGTTCTGGCTGCAATTCTGAGGCAATCTGTGACGTAAGACCCCGGCAAGTCCCAGCCCTGCCCCTGCACCTGCAGAGACTTTCGGGGATCAGCTCCAGGTTGTTGTTGGCGGCCATGAACTCCTCTAGGCTGGTCAGCTTGCCAATGCCCGAAGGCAGCCCGTCGAAGTCCAGCTTGTTGGAGTTCAAGTACAGCTTCTTCAGCTTGGTCAGCTTGCAGATGGCTGACTAGAAGGGAGCCGGGCACGGCGGGTAGTCAGAGCCAGAGCCAGGGCCAGGGCCGGGCTCAGCAGCCCCCGGCCACCCTTCCTGAAGACCCTGGACGTACGGGGAGTGAAGTGAGCAGGTTGCGGGACAGGTTCAAGGTCTCTACGTGCACCCACTGGTCGATGCAGAGGGACAGCTCTGTGATCTGGTTGCTGCTGAGGTTGAGGCGGCGCAGGCTGGGAAGGGTGTACAGGCACTCAGGTACCCGTGTCAGGTCATTGCAGGACAGGTCCACATCTGAGGCGCGGGGGGGAGAGGGGGCGCGGGGTGGAGAGTGTGCATCAGCTGGGGCCCACACACGCATGCCAGGGCAGCCAACCCCACCCCAGTGCGAACTCCAGCCCCAGGCCGTGAGGCCTCCAGCAAGTGATAACCTCTCCGAGCTGCAGTTTCTCTGCCTGGAGAAACTCCATCACGCTGGGTGGGTCTAGGCATCAAATCGGTGCTCAGAAATTGATGTTATTAACTGTTGTCATCATAGTGACAGAAAGATCATAATGTATCCTTTTCTCTCTGGGAAGGAGTCTGAGAAGCAGGGCTTAACCCCCTTTGTTCCTAAGGAAGCGAAGGAGCCCAGAGGGGAGCAGAACTTAGGGGGCGCCACCCAGGGACTGCTCTGACCTGCCAGGTTGCTCAGGCCTTCCAGGCTGGTGGGGAGGTTGCTCTGGGTGCGCTGGGTGTTCCGCAGGTGCAGGGTCTGCAGGGCCATCATGGCTGGGAGCTGCCTGCCAGGCGATGAGAGCTGTCAGGGCCAGGGTCAAGGCCTACCTGGGGGCGCTGAGGGCAGGGCTTGGAGGGGTGGGCCCAGGAGCAGAGGGTCCAGAGGGCAGGCATGCAGCTGCATCTGTCTGAGGGGACCAAGCCAAGGGCGGCTGTGGGGCAGGGTACTGGGAGGACGGGACTGGGAGGTGTGGCGTGACCTTTGAGGGGCCGGGGCCTGAGGGGTGTGGCCTACACGGGAAGGAGGGTGGTGTGGCTGGGGAAAGTGAAGGGCCAGGTCTGGTTGCCAAGGGCACCCACCGGAGCTGGGCGTGCAGCAGTGGGTTTCCATTGAGCACAAGCGTCTGCAGGTGCACAAGGCGGCGCATTTGGGGGGGCAGGCTCTCTAGGCGATTCTCGCTGAGGTCCAAGTACAGCAGGTCGGTGAGGTTGATGAAGAGCTGGTTGGGGATGGCGTCGATGCTGCAGACGGGGGGCGGGGCAGGGGCTGCCTGAGTCAGGGTCGGACCTCCTCCCTGGGCCCGCCTGCGCCCCAGCCTGCGACAGAACTGGCACCTGTTGTGGCTGAGGTTCAGCACGAGCATGTTCTTGGCGTTCTCCAGCTCCCGTGGACACTCCGTCAGCTGGTTGTGGCTCAGGTCCTGGAGAGAAGGGCAAGGTCAGGGGTGTCCCCACCCCACCGGGCCTCTGCCAGGCTCCAAGATCAGGCAGGGCCCTGGAGGTGGTGGGTGGCGTGAGGGGGTTTCAGGGCCAAAAGGAGACAGCTGGGACCTTAGACGGAAGGGTGCTAGGGATCTGACTCCATGAGTGACCTCAAGCAAGGCCACTTGTTCACTCCAAGCTTCAGTAGCCCCATCTGTAAAATGGGATAACAAAGGCCTCAGGGACTCTTTTTTTTTTTTTGAGTTGGAGTCTGCAGTGGCACACTCACAGCCACCGCAGCCTCGACCTGTTGGCTCAGGCGATCCTTCCGCCTCAGCCTTCCTAGTAGCTGGAACGTGCCACCACGCCCAGCTGATTTTTGATTTCTTGTAGAGATGAGGTCTTGCCAAGTTGCCCGGGTTGTTCTTGAACCCATGGGCTCAGGCAATCCTCTCGCCTCGGCTTCACAAAGTGCTGGGATTATAGGCGTGAGCCACCGCGCCCAGCCAGCCCCAGAGACTCTTATGGTGAGCAGGAATTGAATGGTCAGGCTAGCACAGGGGGTGGGTAAGTGGGTAATCACTGACCAGAACCGAGAGGTCATCCAGCTTGAAGATGTCATCAGGGACTCCAGAGTTCTTCAGGCTGTTGGCACGGGCCACGATGGCCTGGGGATATACCATAAGAGTCCATGATTGCTGGTTTCTGCCCCCAGGAAGAAGCAAAGAGGCCAGGGAGGGACACCTCCTCAGGAAGCCTACTGGAGGCCAGGCCTGAATTCTCACCTGCCTCTGGCCATTGATCAAACAGTTCCTCCAACTGGCAGGCTCTTACTATCCTTCTGGTACGCTCCTATTCACATCCCAAAGCCCAGTTCAAATGTGTTTCAGAACCCAGCACACGCCCCCAAGGAAACTTTTCTGATCCATCCACCTCAGCCTCCCGAGTAGCAAAACTACAAGCATGCCACCATGCCTAGCTAATTTATTTTACTTTTTTAGAGATGAGGTCTCACTATGTTGTCCAGGCTGGACTTGAACTTCTGGCCTCAAGTAATCCTCCCACCTCAGCCTCCCAAAGTGCTGGGATTACAAGCGTGAGCCACCACACCCAGGCAATTTCTCTTCTTAATTCCAGAAGGTAAGATAGGGTGTAGCTGAGTGAGGGTTTTCAGAAGAGAGAGAACTGAACTAAAAAGAACCAGAGCGTGGACTGACATGAAGTTTGCTTTCTCTCCCCTAACTTAGGGCTGAAACCTCTTTCTGCTACAGACTTGTACAAAGTTCGAGGAGGAGAGAGGACAGGGCCAGGGAGTGATGTCACAGCTACCAGTGACACCAAGAGTGACAGAGCTGCTCCATGCTTCCCCAGCCCTGATATCTGTACAGCACCATGTTGCTGCTTCACAGGGTCACCGCCACCCTCCCAGCCACCATATCTGCAGATGAGGCCCAGAAAGTAGAAGGGACTTGTCCAAGGTCCCACAGCCAGGAAGTAGCAGAGCCTCACTTTGAACTTGGGAAGCCCAAGTCCAGAGGACATGCTGTTAACAACTCCAGGGCTTCAGCCTTGGAAGGAAGGACCCTGGCTAAGGACACAGGGCATGGCCGGGGCCTAACATTCTGGGATGTCAGACCACCCTCCCAGCCAACTACCCCAACCCCAGCTCTAGCACTGCCTGACTGCGTCTATGACACTGGTGGAGGTCAGGAGGACATGAAGAAACCTTCAAGGAGCAGTGGGAACACCACTCAGCCAGTGCTGCCTATTGTTATGATACTTGACATCTAAAACATGTGGCAGTATCTTATGCTTTTCCCTCCTATTCTCTAATCCACGTTGGTCACTTTATGCAGGGCACAACTGTAACTGCTTGCAACAAGAGGGCCTCTCTTGTGACATCTGGTCCCCGAGCCTGACTCAAAGAAGGGCAGAGATGCTGGCCTTGCCTGGGGTCTGGCGCTGCCCTCATGTCCCTGGCTGGACAACCAGCCCCTCCCCTCAAGCCTGTGGTCTCCGGGCCACTACTCACCCGCAGCGATGGCAGGCTGGACAGCTCCCCGTGAAGCGTGGTCAGGTTGTTGTGACTCACAGACAAATGTTCCTGGGTGGGACAGGGGGAGCAGAGACTCAGCGGGGTGGGGTGTCCAGAGTTCCTGCCACCACAGCTTTGCACCATCCAGAAGAGCCCTTGGCCACACAGGCTCAGTCCACCTCTGCAGTCTCTCTCCTTCCCAGACCCAGCCTCTTTTTGTATACCGTCCAGGACAGGGTGCTCATTCCCTCTCTGTCAGCTCTGCTCTGCCCACCTAGCTCACCCATAAGACCCTCCCTGCCTGCCCAAAGCCTCTTACCAGCTTCTGTAGGGCAGCCAGCTCCTCTGGCAAGTAGCAGAGGCCAGTGCGGTTCAGCTTCAGCCATCGCAGACTGGTCATGGCCTTGACATTCTCAGGGAAATAGCCACCCTGGAGGAGAGATGTCATGGTGAGGCTGGTCTGAGAAAGCAGAAGGCCTGCTCCACCACCTTCCATAGCTCCCACTGCCAATTCTCACCAGCTGAGGCCATGGACAGGTCACTTCTTCACTCAATTTCTTCACCCATAAAATGGGACTAATGACAGCCCCCATGTGACAAATGTGTTGGCCTAAGACTTGTCTCTCCTGCTGGACTCTGAGCCCCAGGAGGGCCAAGACAAAACTGACTTGTTTCAGGTGCTATCCCAGCACCCTGCCTTGTGGTTAGCCTGGCTCATTCCTTCAACCGGTTTTCCAGGCCCTGGCCTCTGCAAAGGCCCCACCTGTGCCCTCACCCTGCTTCAGCATACAGGCAATTCAAGGCACGGTCCAAACCAGCAGTGCTGAGCACCCCCACCACGGGCACCGCTTCATCCTTTCCCCATATTTGAACACCCACCTCTGCACCTCCAGCCCTCATGGCTCCAAGTCTGGGGCAGCGTGTGCCTTCAGTGCCCTTGACTGGTGTCCCTGCCCCCCAGCGGCCACATTCCTGGCTAGTGACTCAGACTTTTGCAGTCCAGTGAAGATGAACGGCGACCCCAGATAAGGACGGGGGGGATGGGCACAGGGACAAGCGGTGTGGCAGCACGCACACCTGGCAGTAAATGCAGGAACAACCTGCCTGTCTCCTTGGCGGCGGCCAGCAAGACCCCGCTTGTCCCCTTCTTGCAAGTTGCCTCCCCTTCACCAACTTTCCCCAGTGTCCACCTCGTCCTCGAGGCCCTAGAACCACCTCCCTTGCCATCAGCTGCCCGCCGGGCGGGCTTCAGTCCCTTGTCCGCCTGGCCCATCGGCCCAGCAGCTGCTCAGACGGCGGCCCGACACGCCCCACACACCCAAATCTCGCTGCGTCCCGTGCGCCCAACAGGGCTACCGTAGGCCCCTTCACCGGATGAGAAAGCCCAGACTCAGAGGGGAAGTGGCTTGCCCAAGCTCACGCAGGATGGGGGTGGCGGGGACAGGGCACGGAGGAGTAGGCTCCAGACCCGCCCCTGGGCAGCCCGGGCCGCCCGCCCTGAGTCACGGCCTGGCTTGGGCGAGTGACCTCAGAGGGGCGGGGAGGCAGGAGCACAGGCTCGCCAACCCCCCAGGCCACACTCCGGCCCGGAGAACACGGACGCGGGTGGGGGCCTCCAGCCGGCGCCCCGCGGCGTGACTCCGAGCCCGAGGGCTCGCCCTGGGCCCGCCCGGCCTGGGTCCTCCCGCGCGGGCAG